ACTTTCAGTTTTATAAAACTAGGTTATCTCTAGCTCAAGATGTCTGTAAGAAAGTAAAACATTACTGAAGACATAATACAATAAGTTCAACAAAAAAATCCCATCTGATTTACTTTCCTAAGGCAACTATTTTGCAGTAAATCCCTTCAACAAATTGTTTTTTACCTAAGTCATTTACTCCCAAGGGTCTGAATTGAGATCGAGTATTATACAATGGCAAAAACATGGGTTTAGAGTATGAAATGTTGTTAGGCACCATCGAGTCGGTTCTGACTCAAAGTGACCCTCTATAAGGTTGACAAGGAGTGTCTGGTGGGTTTGATCTGCCAACCTTGTAGTCAGCAGTCCAGTACTTATCCTACAACACCATACCAGGACTGAAATATCTGAGTCTAAATCCTGGCTCTGCCCCTATCTAGCTATTTGATCTGGGGAAAGTTGATGTAACTCTTTTAAGCCTTGGCGTCTTCATTTGTCAAGTGAGCATGACAATGCTTCCTTCACAGGTTTGTTGGGCAGATTAAGTGGTTTCATTATGTAAAGAGTCTAATATGGTACCAGACACATAGTAGGCACTGAGTAAGTAGTAGTTATAATTAATATTAATACTTTGTTATTGTTGTTGCTAAGTGCCAACGAGTCAGTTCTGACTCATGCAAGCTTATATAGGGTCTTCAAGGAGCAGCTAGTGGGTTTGAACTGCTGACTTTGAGATTAGCAATCCAATGCTTACCCTACAATGCCATACCAGAACTCCATGACTGCATTAAAATACTGATCTTTTTCCAAAGTATGTGTAATGAAGTTTAATATATTAGTTCATTTACTTCTTTTAACAATAAAGTGAGAAAAAACATTATTTAGTCCATTTCTCAAAGTTTGGGTAACATAGCTAAGACTTAAAGAGATGGACAATCCCATTTTAATGAAGTGTCCGATCAGTAGGTGCCAGGGCTGGCTAACTGATATTTAGGGGGCAGCAGATAGGGAAATAAAGAGGTTGAAACATCTCATAGGGCATGGCTTGGGAACTCAAATCATAGAAGAGGTACATGGTGGATGCTCCAGCCACACCAGTAGTGACAAGTGCTGGACAACACCTAAAATCTGTAGATCCCCGCATGTGCATCAAGCTCACAGGGCAGTATGTTTCATCTGACTGAGATCCAGATCCTTCACTCTGACTAGACAAGTGATCCATGAGTTCAGAATCTTCACCAGCTCTCCAACCAATATCCAGCAATATTCTACCCCAAAATATGTAAAGACTAAAAGATGTATGTACTCGTATGTTGTTGTCCAATCTGACACATAGTCACCCTTTATGATAAAGTACAACTGCCCCAGAAGAATAACTAGACTGCAATCTTTGCAGGAAGGAGCTATGGTGGCATAGTGGATGACGAGCTGGGTTGCTAACTGCAAGGTCAGTAGTTCAAATCTACCATTTGCTCGGCGGAAGAAAGCTGAGGTTTTCTGCTCCCAGAAAGATTTGCAGCCTCAGAAACCCTATGGAGTCGTTTGCTATGAGTCAAAATCAGCTCAACATTAGGGGGTTTAGTGTGGTTTTGGAGGATCTTTACAGGTGCGGGTTACCAGTCTCTTCTCCTGCAGTGTCTATTGTGCCCAAACCACCAATCTTTCAGTAAGTCGCTGACCATTTAACTGTTGTACCACTAGGGATTCTATGTCTATATACTAGTATATACAAAAACTTCAAGGTCATAGAATTTTTTAACATGTAAAATTTTATTACGAACATCCCCTCAAGTACTCAAAACAGAGCAGAATAAATGTTATAAGTGTGCAGATGTAAACTACACCCAGCATTTGCTTTACATATGGATACAGTTTTAAATGCCTTTACTTGCAGCACAGATTTTCACTTTAATAAATCTGTATAAAACAAAATGGCCAAATATGAGCAGGAAGCCAGTGAAAACCAAAGCAATTCTGCCCCATTGTAGATCTTCTACTCAAATGGGGCCCCGTCCCAAGTCAGCTATAGTGGGATGTGATGGGAGGGCATTTTTTATTCTCAAATATAAAAACTAGAATTTTTTTCAATTATGAAGAGAGAGTGCAATTATTATTTTTTTTTAAATCAACTGAATCCCATGGGCAAAAGGAAAACTTATATAATTCATACAAATAGTTTTAAAAATCACGAAAAATTTTTAATTTAATTTGCAATCAAATAAATCTAAAATAGTGCCACATTAAAATGAATCCTATCCTGAAACTCAAAGGGAATACACAAGAAGACATGTAAGCTTGCTGGCAACCACATTGGTCTACTAGTGAGCGGAAGTGGGGAAAAATGAGCAATGAAGATATGTGCTGAGTATGACCATGTTACACAGTCTCCTATTGACCTGGAGTATGGTGAGACCTGGTTGGCTTGAAGTATGGTGAGACCTGGGCACTCCTGAGCCCATGGACAAGGACACAACCACAGAGGGCTAGAGCTGACAGTGATGTGTCTGTCCAACTGATATGAAGTGAGGGGAAAAGTACAAGAACACCCAAACTTGCAGATAGTACCCAATTGGCCTAGCTTCAATGGCTGGATGATCAGAACTAACAACTAGAGGAAGATTTAAAAAAAAAATTTTTTTTTTTTTTTTTTTAAACTAAAAGAAGTGTAAATCACTACAATATGATGAACTTGACCTATACTTATGGATGTGTTGCTGTTGTTGTTACATGCCGTGGAGTCAGTTCCGACTCATAGTGACCCTGTACAGGGTTTCCGGGGCTGTAAATCTTTACAGGAGCAGAAAACCTCATCTTTCTCTTGCAGAACAGCTGGTAGTTTCAAACTGCTGACCATGAGATTAGCAGCCCGATTCATAACCACTACGCTACCAGAGCTCCTTATACTTATGGATGTAGTAGCTTAAAATACCAACCAAGAGGAAAGGAATCTTCACAGCACGGATCATTCCTATTCCATCTGGACACAGGGTTGATAGAGATGGGCAACTTAGACTTTGGCTACTTAAAATGGGGGCTGTGGGGGCAGGCTGTAAAGGCAAGAAGTGACTGGCTTACAAGTTTTACAAGAGGGAGTTTAGATTCAGAATGTATGGGGGAAGATAGAAACCCCACTCATAGAAACCTCACTGGACCCATCTAGACAGGTTTGCATTCTGTCCAGATGGGCCTGGTAAAAGGAGATGGGGATAAGACTCTTATGATTCAGTACTGAGTAATTATTATCATGACTAACTGCGATTATTGCAATTGTAAAAGTAGAAATTTTGTAGCAAAAAGGAGTGAGTGGTTGATCTTGCAGTGCAGGAATGGAGGACCCTGGGATCATTAAGGGAGAAAATAGGGAACAGAGTGTAGGACCCTACCCAGAGAGGCGGTGACACCAGGGATGAAGGCAGAGATGGTGATGTGGAGAGATAGAGCAGCTAAGAACTCTCGACTCATAGAGGGAGAGGGGCTGTGTGGTGGTGGCTGGGGGCTAGCTTGCAGGGTGTGCCCTTTGGTTGTTTGACTTATTCCTGAGTGTTTTGGTGTACATCCAAAAAAAGCAAAAAACAAAACAAAACAAAACAAACAAACAAACAAAAAAACACAAAGGGAATAGAAGCAAATATTGTCGGATGATAATGCATGCAGGGGATTGTAGTCATTGCAATGAAACGAAGTGAAATTGGAGGAGTGTAAAACTAACTTATAGTCCCCATGTAATCTATCATGCGATTCACAATAAATTTTTTTTTAATGAGTTCTCTTTGCTCATAAGATTAACAAATGAATTTTTTGTTTATAATGAGAACATCAGACACTGATGAGAGTGTCGTGGGCCAGACTGCATGCTACTGGTGATGGAAGTTAATACAGACATTTTGAGAAACAATTTGGCAGCAAGATATCAAAGCCTTAAAAAGATTAATAGCTTTGGATTTAGTAATTTCATGCCTGGGGCTGTATCCTAAGAAAATAACCTGAAGTTCAGAGCAAGACCATGGAAACTGTCTAAAAGAAAAAAAGTGAAATGTTTTATATTCTCATATGGAACATTATTTGGGTATTTAAATTGTTTTTATTAAAATTTTGTGATAATTGGAAGAAATATTTCTATTGTTAAGGTTTTTTTAAGCATATGAATTTGTACATAGAAGATTATCTAAACTATAAAAATGGTTGGAGTCCTGGTGTGGTGCTGCAGGATAATGCACTGGATCACAAGGTCAGTTTGAACTGCAAGGTAAGCGGTTCAAACTCACCAGCCACTCCTGGGAAACCCTACACAGGGTCACTATAACAGCACTTAACAACAACAACATAAAATGGTTAGAAAAATTATAAGAAGAAAAAACATCAAATTGCTAACAGAAATAATCTTTGAGTGAGGGGATTGGGGATAATTTATTTTCTTTCTTCCTGTTTTTTTCTTTTTTGCATTTTCAAATTTTTGCCTTTGAAAAAATATGAATTAAGGAAATACACTTTGACTTTTAAGTCAAGGACAAACTTTATCAACTAGCCCTGATTTTATCTGTTTTTCTCAAGTATTCACATCTGCAGAGTCACCAAATATATTCAAGACTAGAAAAAAGCACCTCAAAGTCGAATGAGGTGAGTGCCAAGAGAGGCCAAGGAGAAAAATAACAGGAGATCAATAGGCAAAAGAACAAGAGAAACAGTGCTCACAAAAAGCAAACACACACAAACACACAAACTCTAATGGATCATTTCCAACCTGGTCCATCACCCTGGGCTCAGGAGGCAAATGGATGCGGGAGACATGACCTCCAAGAAGAAGTCAAATGTGGGGATAAGACTTCACACATGGGTACAGATGGTGTCAACAAGGCTCACTGAAACTTTAGAATGTAGAAATCAGAGAAAGTGGGGGTATATGCTATGCCCTTGGCAAGTCCTTTATACATCTCCAGGAAACTGAGCCTTATCTAGGTTTGTAGACAAAGTATTAATAAAAACAGAGTTACAAGACTCATGATCATCTTGCAGTTTAATCTCTAGCAATCTAAATCATCTCTGTGAAATTCATCTGTCTTGTCCACCACCTTGGTAAAGGTGAGGCTTCTAACTATCTTTCTGTCTTCTAAGTCAAGGTTTTCATCTGCCACTTGACCTGGAGTGCTTGGGCCCAAAGGGGCTCCTTCTTGCTCAGAAGTAGAGCTTTCTGAGTCCATCCCAGTGACTTTTCTCTCTGGATGAGTGACTCCCTTGGGTTCATCTGCAATGCTTCCTGTTTCTCCAGTGGAGTGCTCTTCTTTGGAGCCTTTCTGCGAGACCTGGGAGCAGTTTCCTAGAGATGATATGCTAGAAGAGATGTCGGTTTGCGGGGCTGACCTTTGGTGGGAAGTGTTTCCACCTGGGGTTGAGGGTGGTGTAGACCTCTGCTCTTGGTCTGGACTTTTGTTTTCAGAGGACTCACTCAACTGGCTCTCTCCTTTCTTCAGTGTAAGGCTATCTTCTTTCTTACCTGTCTGTCCCTCTTCTTCAGTGTCCTGGACCTTCTTAGTAGCTTCTGCACTATCACCTTCTCCTTCTGGACCTAGGTCACTTCTTCCTGAAGCTAAGCCCTTCAAATGGGCCTCATTCCCAGAGCTTTGTTTCATGCTTTCTTCCTTCTCATTCACACCATGCACTGCCCATTCTTCTTTCTCTAGGTCACTGTCAACACTCGTATCTGTTTTCCTATCTGTCCTCTGAGCAGTTGGGTCTTCATCTCTCCCGTGGTAACTAGCCCCCTCTGTTTCCCCTAGTTTGGGATCTTCACCTCGGCTGAGCTTCTGGCTCCCTTCATCCTCACCCCCCTCATCTGCCCCAGAACCAGGGACTAACTCAGTCTCCAACACTTCATTACTTTCCTGGACAGTTCCAGTCCTCCAGCAGGCCTCCTGAAGAAGCCCCATTCCCCACTTGTCAGGAGCACCACATGCTGCCTCCTCATTAGTATGTCCTTCCTTCCTTGTCTGCAAAATCTGTTGCAGGTCAAAGGCCTTTTTGATGGGTGTGTTGCCTGTTCCTCTTGTGTCACTCAATGGTATGGGGATCATTTTCTTTCTCACACAGGCCTCACAGGGGCAGAATTCCTCTCCCTCAGCATTCTCACCCAGCTGAATCCCTGTGGTACCACTGAAGGATGGCTTATCCTCCAGGGTGAGGGAGACGAGCCCATGGGCTCCAGTTGACTCTCTGAAGGCAGAGAGGTTACGCAGGCCCTGAAGACGGCGCCTCCGCTGCTGTGTCTGCAAAGATGTCTTCCACCTTAGTGCTTCACAGGGTGGCCTGGGCACCTTCTTCCCTGGTCTGTTCTGAATCTTCTCCATCTCTTTTGTTATACTGTCTTGCAGGTGCCAAGCCAGGTCCTGCTCCAGCTCTGCTACCATCTTGTCTAGCAGATCGTTATTCTGCAGACCCCAGCGGGTACGGATTGCAGCCATTGCACTAGCAAAGTGGGTCATGAAGGCCTTTGCCATCTTCTTCAGCAACTTAAACACCCCAATGGGGTCAGGATCCAGATCCATGGATCTGGTTTTCTCCCCATTCTCCTACATGGAGCTGACCTGGGTTTGTTCAATGACCATCTCAGAATTTCTGGGCAGCTGTTTCAAACCAGACTCCAATATGGGTCCACTTTGATGCTCCTTGGCATGGGAGTCACTCTCACAGGGACTGCTGCAGGATTCTGTTGGTTTATTGACCATCCCTGGAGGACACAGATCTACTGACACAGGGTCTCTTCCTGTTTCCTCTTTCTGTATTCCCTTGTCTTGTGTGTCCTCTCCATCCTGAGTGCCACCCACTGACAATTCCTGTTCATTGACTCTTTCCTCTTCTGGAAACTCTTCCTCTTTACTACTGTCTTCTTGCATTTCTTCTTTTTCTATTTCTTGCTCTATTTTTTCTGCTGGCACTCCTTCTTCTTGCATAATGTTTTCAACTAATTGTTCTAAGCAATTGCTTAACATCTGTTCCTTACTGTCTTCTGCTTCATCTTGGCTTGTGGTACAAGGCCAAGCTCGGAAATTTGAGGAAGCTTGGAGAGAGTTCAGAGGTTGGTTTTTCAGGTCTGCTGGTTGGTTTCTCAGCTCTGACATATTAGAGGTAGGTCTCTGAGAGGAGATGATGTTCGTCACCATTTTCAAGGGCAGTTCCACCCTCTCAGGGGTTATAGTAGAGTCTACAAGACAAGTCCCTCTGCCCTCCCCAGAACCTCCTGAACCACTGCTGACATCCACTCCTGAGGAGGACGTTGGAGTAAAGTCCTCAGTCACAGGTAGAGCCTGGAGAGTTCTAAACTCCTGAAGACTCGAGTCTAGTTCCCTACACTGTGGCCACAGGGACTGGAAAGTGGCCAGAAGCTCCTGGAACCGAGGGGAGTCTGTGAACTTCACTTTGCTGACAGAAGACCCAAGATCTTCATTAAAGAAATGAAGTCTGGTGAGACAAGTGACAAGGACACGGGCAGAGTGACTGAGCCTCCTCCCCACCACATCAGATACTTCAGTCAGGCTGCTGGGCTGGCCCTGTGTTGGGCTGATCACTGCTCTCCTGATCTGTCTGCAGGCAGGAATCCTGCTGAGCAGGACACCTTTACTCACAGCATGGCCCACAGTGATTCGATTGCTGGCTCTAACCTCCTTACCTGCACCTGAAACACGCCCAGAAGCTCGTCTTTGAGAAAAAGCCTCTTCCAGTTTGAGACTAGCGTCATCAGTCACTGGGGCTCCATCTAGTTCTGGTCTCTCACTGATGTCCCCTTCTAGGGTTGGTTCTATAGCTTGAGCTAGCTCCCTAAGACTTTCCAAAGAATGGTTGTCAACAAGGTCCTCTTGGGTACCTTCTGGGCCACTCCCAGCCACATTTGGGCTGGCATTCATCATCTCATATTTCATGAGTATGGGCTCTTCTGAGATGTGACTTAGCCATTCACAGATGACAGCTTCTGGGGACATGTGGGGCAGAGCATTAGGCATCATGCCACCATTTTCCTCTTGCTCCTCAAGGATTTCCCCTTCTCTAGAAGTCTTTTCCTGTGACATCCCTCTGATCTCTCTGACTCTTTTCCATTTGGCACCTGATTTTGAGCACAGGGGCAGTGTTCTCAGTCCACTGAATGTTTCTTCCCCCTGCTCACCTTTACCTGGCCCCCAATCCACACCTTGGTTGATATTGTTATTGCTACTATGGCTTGAAGCGTGCTTCTTGACACAGAGTTGCCCTCTTGGGAGAATAGGGCAGTGCCTGCTGCATACCAAGCAGAGCCCAGAGATAAGTTGAGGACTGCCCTGTGACTGGTCAGCTTGCTTGCCTGCATTTAACCACCGTGGGTTCTGCAGACTAAGCATATATCAATCTGTGAGCAGCAGCCACCTCGGTGGTCTCCTGATTTCACTCCATCAGGCCATTTAACTGGACAAAACATGGGTAAGGAGAGTTTGCGAGTATTGTTTCCTGCCTCTTTACCTACGTGATCAACACTAACTTGAGAGCTGAAAGAGTCTGATATATTGGAAGCTGTGGGGGCTGGTGAGCTTACCCCAAGCTCAGGGTTCCCTTCAGTCTCAGCAGAGGTGAAGTGTGGGTGGTAGAAATGAGCAGCACAGCCAGTTTTTTGTGGATCTGAATGACTAACAGGTGTAATGGTGGCACTGCTGACCGCTGGTGGGTACTGGGAATGAAGCGATCCAGAAGAGGGAAATCCTGGGTCCTTGGAGGTCTGTTTTCTGACACTAAAAGTGTTTTCAGGAAAACTTGGTATTGGGTCATCTGAGCAGGCCCTGCCCCTATTAGCAGGACTCTCGAGACTTGCTTGGAGTCCAGTGGGGAGTGGATGTCTCTTTGGTAGTGGTGCTTCCTGTGGCATTTTCTCTGGTCAGCACTGTTAAAACCTGGAGTGATAGGCAGGGATGTGGTGCTAACTTGGCTCTTCTGTTTTCTCCTCCTCCTCTGGGCTGAGGCACAGGAGAAGAGTGGGGGAGAGTTCCCTTCAGCATCCCATGAGCCAGAATGGCCCAAAGACACAGGTAGCCTCATCACAGATCTACCCCTGGCCTTGTGGCTCCCAGTGTCCTGTCCATTTGCCTCTGCCTGTAGATCTCCATTCCTCAAAGGCGAGGAACTCAAAGCAGGGCAATTGGAGCTGCCTTCCTGGGTGTGCTCCTTCTGTGAAGTCATGGTTTCCCCACTGCTTGTGTTACCTCAGCATGGCTTACCCCTTTTGCTGGGCTTCTTGAGAAACCTAGCACCCACTGATGAGCCAGGAAGAGCACCCTTCAGGCCATGGGGTTTAGTTTTCAGGCAGCCCACTGAAGGCTCTGCTTCAGTCCCTTCCTCTGTGACTTGCTGCTCCCTGGGGCCTTCCCCTGATCCTTTTGGACATGGGTTGGGTAACAGGTTTGAGTCCTTAGCAGTCTGGGATGAACTGCGAGCTTCTTGCTCAGCTCTTCTCTCAGAGGCAGTCCTGGGAACCAGATGCCCACTGCAGCTGCCCATGCTACTTTCCAGGGTCCTGGTGCAGCAGGAAGAGTTTGACTCAGAGGCTGTTGTGGGTCTGTCATTGGAAGCTGAGCTGATACTGGCTTTGCTGGTTCTATTCTTACTGGAAACCTTTTCATTCCAGGAAGCCCTGGAGTACCAGTGCTGGGTAAGTGGGGCCCTTCTCCAAGAATTGGTTTCCTCCCCCTGGCACCTGTATAGGGGGTTTGTCCAGATCTCACAGCCAGGCCTTACCTGCTGGCCTTGCTTAGAGCCCTCCTCACCTCCTGATGCACAGGGCCTCAATCCCAGTGTCCCAGGCTCTGAGAAGCACCCAGGGATGTCCTCACACACACAATGTAGGGGGTCCACCTCCCTTGGTGAAGGGCACCTTCCACTGGCTGTTGTGAGGGTGCTGGCTCTAATGACCCTCTTGGACCACAGAAGTGTGTCTTCACTGAGCATGTGGAAATGGACTTTCATCTCCACAGACAGGCTGCCATCCTCATTCATGTGGATCTTCTTCTCAAAATCATCATCAGTCACCAAAGGACCAAGGTGAACAGGTGTGTCCTGAGGGTTCCTATGAAGGACAGAGTCCATCCAGGTGTAATGCGTGGACATTGAGGAGTCACTGAGACCAGACCTCTGTGACATCAAGGAGAACCGCCATGACCTGTCACCTGACTTGGACCTTGAGTGGATAATGCTCTGCTTGGCCTTCAGTCCCCAGCTCCCTGCTGCAAATTGAAGAGTAAGAGGAAAAAGAAAGAGATGTTGAGCAATTCTGAGGAACACCAGGGTAAAAGCATGAAGGTGGGTCATGAATCTTTCATCAACCTAATATCACCACCTCCTCCAAAACAGCAAAATGAAGGCAGGATCCACTCTACAATGAATATCCATGGAGCTGCCAGTTTGTGAAGCCCCATAGCTTAATGGGATGAACATGAAAACTGAATTCAATCCTAACTCTGCCATTTATTAGCTATGTAGCTTTAAGGAGAGCCTGTTTTCTGAGTTGTAAAAGAAGAATCATGGTATCTCTTTGGTAGGTTTGTTTTGATGAACTGAGGTGATGTATTTTCTGCATTTTACATCACACTGTAGGTTCTGGACAGTAGAGATGACAGGCAGAGAAGCAGTGCCCAGACCTAACTCCTATCTCATCTCATTCCACCCCAGCACAGCAGGTGAAAGCAATAAACTTGATTGTAGGCTGTCAAATGCTTTGTAATGATTAGTGGTGATTTCTCTTTCTAACACTTATCAACCTCTTGGGTTGATAAATGATTGCAAGGAAGAATCTGGAAATATAATATCAGGTCTTGGTATGCAAGCCTGTACCCACCTCATGAGAAACATGAGGCCAGAAAGAAGTGATGTCTTGTAAATCTAGAAAGAAGTGACCATAGTAAAGAATGAAGCTCCTTATACTTTCTTATTTCACCTCTTTAGTTAATATTTGGCAACAAAGAAAAGCTAACAAAGGCCACCAAATGAACATATTGCCATTGAGTCTACCTGGATATGAGAAGACTCTGCCAAATCCTTATTTTCCGTAAGAACCAAATGCGAGTGGGGACTCCTCCAGAGAAAGCACTATGATTAATGTGTCTTTGTACCTCCAGCATGTGATATGCAGCAATCATGGAAATCATTTGTTATATTCTTAATAGCTTTTTACAAAGGATATTACTTTGTTCACTCACCAAAATGTCCATTGCCACTTCTGGTAAATTTGTTTTTATTCTGTATTGTTGATATTTTGTATCTATAATGCAGAGCATATATAACCAAAGGAGCTCTAGTAGCGTAGTGGTTACAAATCGGGCTGCTAACCTCAAGTTTGGCAGTTTGAAACTCCTAGCCATTCTGTGGAAGCAAGTTGAGGCTTTCTGCTCCTGTAAAGATTTACAACCTCAGAAACCCTGTGCAGGGTCACTATGAGTTGGACCCGACTTCAGTAGTTAAAAACAACAACAACGTATATAACCAAAGCTAGAATCTGACAAAAATTAGGCATTTTGGATGAATGTATGGTTGGATGGATGGATGACTGATGGCTATCATCAGTTTTAGTCCATTTGATCTCTCTATAGGCACCTACTCTTTCCTGAGTGCTGACTCTTAAATGACCTGGACACACAATATCAGGTCCTAAGATGCAAGCCCACACCCCTGGACATACTAATTCATGTACCCATCATCCATTGCTCCCATAATGACTTGCCCACCATGGTTCTTAATGAAGACTGTTTTAGAACCTGCAAACTTCGAACTAAAGATCTATTCATTCCTAGTTCCTTTATATACCATGTTCCTTTCTTTCATATCTCAGTCAAATGCTCAACCCAGTTAAGGTTGATGGTGATGAAAAGGAGAAAAAAGAAACAAGAGAGATCCAAAATTCATTGGGATATCCAAGAATTGGGCCAAAGGCAATGAATTCTCTGCTCACCCTACTGGTCCACCATCTAGTACAAATAAGATTGGGAAAAAATCAAAACTCACCATTTTTGTTCCTTGAAGTCAGCTCAGATAAAGTTTCAGACTGATTTCTTCTATAATTTTTCACTGCAGGAGGTCTGAAGGACTCATGACCAGCACACACCAGCACCAAGGGGCTGCACAATAAACCCCGTAGGGAGCCCACCTGACAAAGATAGTGTAGAACTAGGAGTCCTGGTCTCCAGAACTACTTCCTTCCCAAGAAGACACAGGTGGATGAAGAACCCACTCCCTCTAGTCCTTTCATGATTTTTGCTCCTCTCACTACTGATTCCTGATCCAAGGGAAGAGTCCCATCCACTCCCTACAAGACTTCCATCATTAGCTTAAGGCTGAGTTCCTATCACAATGATCTTTCTCTCTAATTATATCCCTCCCTCCACTAGATATGAGGTCTGTGATTTTGGAATTTATTCTGGTACTTAGGTGGAAAATACTTTAAGAAGTCTATTAGCCTGATTCCTTGACTATACGTTTACCCTCAAGAATATCTTTTTTAACAACCTTAGTGGGACAGGGAGGGGTGGCATCATTCCCTCCAGGCTCCTACTACAGTTCTCTAGGTTCCAGCTTAGACACTTGTGCCATCCTCCTATTCCACCCACACTCTTCATCCTCGCCAATAGGACATCCACCTGCCTATTGCTAGGCTAGGATTGGAATAGGCAACGTCAGTGCAGTATTCCATGCTAGGAAAAAGGTCTCTGTTTTTAGAACATTTCACCTGGCTCAAGATGCTCTGCATATCTGAAGGTTTGCACTAATTTTAGCATTACACTGCAGTTAGCAGTGTTGGGTGGGAGCTATTTCTATCTTTGAAAATGCAGAATGTGTTATTTTATGTTTTCCCAAATTGTGAGGCTGTGCTCATTCACAAGGGCATGAAAAAAAAGAGAGAGAACTTTACTTCCTCTTCCCAAACTATGGCATGTAAGTTTGTTGTACACCAGAAGATCTTTCATCATATTTATTGGAAGTTTGTTTGAGGCTGCTAATTTTTGCTGATTTAGATGCCTAGTCCATCACAAAAACCAAACATGATCTAAGTCTATTAATATGTAGACACAGTTGAGATTCTAGAGAACTAGACTCTTCAGGAAGAAAAAGGAATTGAGAACTAAAAGCTATTCCCATTTTTGAATTGCATAGTAATAGTTCACCAAAATTAGAAATGGGGGAGGTATAGGATACATGTTGTTGTTGTTAAGTGCCGTAGAGTTGGTTCTGACTCATAATGACCCAGTATAGGGTTTCTAAGTCTATAAATCTTTGTAGGAACAGAAAACCTCATCTTTCTCCTTCAGTGTGGCTGGTGAGCTCAAACTACTGTCCTTGTGGTTTGCAGTCCAGTACTTATTTTATAGGGTGCCCATCCAGTAGAGGACTTGAAAATTGATAATTATAGCACAGCCAATTCTAGGAAGCAGTGTGATTATTATGTTTGCAGAACTTATAATAGTCCTCCAGTAAATTTATATGAAAAGTGAGCTGAGAGCCCAAATATCTCTTTCTCTAATTAACTGTGTCTTCTCGTCTTTTTACCATATTCACTAACTTGTGTAAAGGGTAGTGATCTAATCCTATTTGTCTGTCTACTCTCGATGTGGCTTATGCTTACTACTTGGTAGCAAAGAATTATTGGTGGTGCATGATAACTTTTAAATAATTAATGCTGACTCAATGATTTTTCAGTCACGTAACTATAGGCAAATTACTTAATCTCTCAGCTACATTTATAAAATGAGGATAATAATATTAACTGCCTGTCTTAATTATATAGTCCTTCTGTAACAGAAATACAACAAGTGGATGGCTTTAATAAACAGAAATTTATTTTCTCACAGTTTGGAAGACTAGAAGTATAAATTCAGAGCACTGGCTCTGGAAAAACAGTCCTTGTTTCCTTTCAATATATGTAGGCCCAGCATTCCTTGGAAATCTCCAAGTGCCTTGGCATCAGTCTTTCCCTGGATCTAGGTGCTTCAAGTGCAGGGACCCTAGTGCACTCCACTCCCAGCTCTGCATCCTTAGTGGTAGTAGGTCCCTCTCTCTCTGCTCACTTCTCTCTCCTTTTATATCTCATAAGAGATTGACTCAGACACAACCTAATCCTGTAGCTTGGAGCTAGCCACATTAACAACATAGAAGTGGGGATTTACAGTGCACAGGATAATTACATTACATAAGAGCTGACCATTTCAAATCACATCATGGTGCTGATTGTATTATAAACCTCATTTTGGAGTTGATAATTTCATCTTAACAGCTAAATCATTAAGAATACTGGCCAAGACAAGTTGACACAAAACCTTAACTATCACACTACCAGTTAAGTTTGCAGATTGGCCACTGTGCACAAGACAGTTGTTGTTAAGGCCATGGAGTCAGTTCCAACTAATATAGACTATGTATAGGATTTCCAAGAATGACTGGTGGGTTTGAACTGCCATCCTTGTGGTTAGCAGTCCAATGCTTATCCTATGGCTCCACACCAGGGCTATTATGCACAACCCTGCTGATGGTGGTAGTTGTGTACCTTGAAGTTGATACTGACTCATAGTGACCCCATATAGGGTTTCCTAAGCTATAAATTTTGATGGCAGCAGAAAGTCTCATCTTTCTCCAACAGAGCAATGGGTAGATTTGAACTGCTGATTTGTGATTAGCAGCCCAACTTGAAACCTTTCATGTACAAGATTGTGTTGTTGTTGTTAGGTGCCATTGAGTCAGTACTGACTCATAGCGATCCTATTATGCACAACAGAATGAATTGTTGCCACACTTGAGCCCATTGATGCTGTCACTTTGCCAATCCATCTTGCTGGGGTCTTCCTCTTTTTCTCTGACCCTCCACCTTACCAAACATGATATTCTCCTCCAGCAACTGGTCCCTCCTGACAATCTGTCCGAAGTATGAAAGACGAAGTTTAGCCATTCTGGTCTCCAAGAGCACTCTGGCTGCACTTCTTCCAACACAGATCTGTTGGTTCTTTTGGCAGCCATAGCACTTTCAATAGTCTCCTCCAACACCATAACTCAAAAGCATCAAATCTTCTAAGGTTTTCCTTATTCACTGTCCAGCTTTCACATGCATATGAGATTATTGAAAATACCATGGCTTGGGTCAGGCGCACCTTAGGCCTCAAGCTAACATCTTTGCTCTTCAACACTTTAAAAAGGTCTTGTGCAGCAGATTTGCCTAATGCAATATGTCGTTTGATTTCTTGACTGCTGCTTCCATGAGTGTTGATAGTTGATCCGAGAAGAATGTATCCTTGACAACGTCAATCTTTTCTCCATTAATGAGAATGTTGTTTATTGGTCCAGTGGTGAGGATTTTTGTTTTTTTCACATTGAGATGCAATCTATACTGAAGGCTGTGGTCTTTGATCTTCATCAGTAAATATTTTAAGTCCTCTTCACCTTCAGCAAGCAAGGTTGTATCATCTGCATATCGCAGGTTGTTAATGAGTCTTCCTCCAATCCTGATGCCAAGTTTTTCTTCAAATAAGGCAATTTCTCGGATTATTTGCTCAGCATACAGGTTGAATAAGTATGGTGAAATATTAGTCAATATTTATTCCATGCTTTTTCTGGTGTGCTTTCTAGTACTGTGGAGTTCAGAAAGCTGGACTCCCTTGCCGAGTGTGGTTCTCAATGTGGAAAAGGTTCCTCCGGTTATATGCACAAAGTTGTTATTGTTGAGTGCCATTGACTCATAGGGTCCATGTATAGGGTTTCCAAGGAGTGGCTAGTGAGTTTGAACTACCAAACTTATGGTTCAAACTGGCCTTGTGGTCCAGTGATTTATCCCACAGTGCCATAGTTGTGTAAGATATGAAAAATGATAATGAAGCAGAGAGGCCTCCTTGCTTTTGCTTTCAACTATTGGCCACAAGCAAAAAACAAAAAAAAAACAAAAAAACTCAGAAGTGTAAGAGGCAGCTATAACTGTGCTTCATTTCAAGGAATCCAGCTTACATCGTTCAATGCATCTGTAAGCATCAAATCCTCTGTATAGAATTCCTCCCTGCTAAGATACCTAGAAAGGTTTCTGTTTCCAGTGCTGAACTTAAAACTGATACAGTTTATATCAGAGGTGATTGCAGGTAACAAACCTTCAGACAACTTCATAATCTCACCTAGCTGAGTTTGTTGTTGTTAGGTGCCATCAAGTTCGTACAGACTTATAGCGACCCTATGCACAACAAAACACTGTCCAGTACTGGGCCAATCTCACAATTGTTGCCACGCTTGAGCCCATTGATGCTGCCACTTTGCCAATCCATATCGCTGGGGGGAACCTTCCTCTCCTTCTCTGACCCTCCACCTTACCAAACATGATATCCCTCTCTAATGACTGGTCCCTCCTGACAACATGTCTGAAGTATGAGAGATAAAGTTTGGCCATACAGGGTTTGTAGTGATAATCTGTTTATAATGGGACACTGGTATTCTATGACACACAGTGACAAAATAAGTTCTTAAATGATCACCTTTGAATGTAGAATGCTCTGCTCACTGAGAGCAGGACTGTGATCCATCATTGGCTGCTGAGATAGCTAGTATAATCAGAATAAAAGAACATGAGGGCTGAGGCATAAATTACAAACCTCTGGCTGCTCTGGAGGACTTAAAGAAAATGCCAAGTTTAGGATTTAAATGGTCAGTTCAGGAATATCTAGAGGTTCTCCTTATAGTCTGCTACTGATCTTGTATTAACTTTTACCCACTGAACATGAAACATTGGAGACACTCCAAAAGCTTCCTTGGGCAATAAATATCTTCCTCCCGTGGTTACGAATTGGGCTGCGATCCTTAAGGTCAGCGGTTCGAAACAGCTGCACCGCGGGAGAAAGATGAGGCTTTCTACTCCCATAAAGATTTACACCCTCGGAAACCCTGTACAGGGTCGCTATGGGTCAGAACTGACTCGATGGCACTTAACAACAACAACAATCCTTGTTTTGTAGCAGCAACTCTTCTGCTGATTGCTAAAACACAACTGAACTGATGTTAGATGATCCATCAAGTTGCAAAGTAGGTGGGTTGAAGTAACATGGACTAATGATTAGGTGCAAATGGGGCCTAATGGTACAAGTTATAAGAGCAGGTGGTTCACACTTCAAGTTCACCTGCCCTGTTGCATGGCCACCTCTGCTCATCACATACTTATAAATTCATGGGAAATTCCTATGACCAGCTAGCCCATGAGCTACCAGGAGTCCTGGTAGTATAGTGGGTTACATTTTGGGCTGCTAACTGCAAGGTCCTGGTGTTGTGCTGTGGGATAAAGCACTGGACCACAAGATCAGTTTGAAACATAAGGTCAGTGGTTCAAACTCACCAGTTGCTCCTTGGAAACCCTATACAGGGTCACTATGAGTCCTAACTGACTCAAAAGCACTTAACAACAACAATAACCTCAAAGTCAGCAGTTTGAATCCACAAGCCACTCCATGGAGAAAAGATGAGGTTTTCTGCTTCAATGAAGATTTATAATCTCAGAAATCCTATGCAGGGTTGCTATGAGTCAGAATTGACTCAACGGCACACAGCCAGGCAGCCAATTAACTGAAGACAAAAATTTCTGATTCTGAATTATTACACAGAT